CCCTCCCCCAGCAGCTCGGCCCCGCTGGCCGGCCTCCCTCTCCCCCCGCGGCGAGGCCACGCCCTCACCTTGATGTGCTTGTAGGGAGGGGGCTTCTTGTCGTTCTTTCTGTCTTCCTGAAGCTGCCTCAGCTCTTTCTGGGCCTTCAGCTCTTCAAACCTCACAGCAGCCTCCTGCAGAGCTGAAAGCCAAGACCCACGGTGTGACGCGAGCCCGGGCGCCTCCTTGGAGCAGCCAGCTGGATGCACTAGTGGCCCCGCTGCAGGAGGGGAGGCTGGCTGTAGGGAGGGGGCTTCTTGTCGTTCTTTCTGTCTTCCTGAAGCTGCCTCAGCTCTTTCTGGGCCTTCAGCTCTTCAAACCTCACAGCAGCCTCCTGCAGAGCTGAAAGCCAAGACCCACGGTGTGACGCGAGCCCGGGCGCCTCCTTGGAGCAGCCAGCTGGATGCACTAGTGGCCCCGCTGCAGGAGGGGAGGCTGGCACCGAGGTGCTTGTACCAGGGCCCTGCCAGGGCCACGCACGGCTGGGGCCGGCAGCTTTGTGTCGGGGGGGCGGCGCAGGCTGGGTGCCACTCTCACCAGCAGGCCCACGTGCCCACTCTGTGGAGGAGCTGGAACCAGGCGCTCAGTGTCTCTTGCCCCCTGGCCTAAGCGCCACGTGCACTCGGGGTGGGCCACGTACGAGGCTCACCTGGCCACGGGGACCCATTGAGGCCTGGCGCCAGGCCATCTCAGAGCCACCAGGAGCGCCCCTTGCCTTACCTTTCTTATAAATGCCATCCACTCCCTTGCCCATCTTGTCCTTGCTGCTCACGTCGCCCTCCATGTAGGGGAACACCCGGGCCTGGTGTGTCCACAGGTAGTCGTTGGAGCCAAAGAACAGCACGGGGAACTCGCCGATGTCGTGTTTCATCTTCTGGATATTGACGGGAATTGTTCTGGGATGGCAAATCTCCGCTGGCCACCACCTGCCGCGGGGGAGAGGGACAGGAAAAGCGGCTCACTGCCTTGGCACCGCTGGTGCTTCTCCAGGGGCCCTGGCACAGAAACAACTTTCCTGGGGCTCCCGGTGCCTCCACTGTGGCAGTGCTAGGCAGGGCGTGGCTGGAGGAAGAGGGAAGAGCCAGGAGGGACGGGGCCCTCTGCGCGGGCGACACTAACCGTTACCCACCTGTAGCGCCCCACTTTGACCCAGACCACCTCCTTGTAATGGGGTTCAGTACCAGCTGCCCTCGGGCATCTCGATGTTCAGACACTCCCGGTGGAAAGCGGCCGGGCACGACTCACAGCACAGAAGGCTGCCCCCTGTGGGCAGGAGCGAGACAGAGAGAAGAGAGGGGCGCCCCCCCCGGAACCAGCCACTGAGCTCCGCACAGGGCTCCGACTCCCGGCTCCCACCATCGGCGCAGCACCAGGCTGTCGGGGCCGCGCCCAGGCACCACACAGATGAGCCCATCACACCAGGACTGCAGCAGACTGTGCCCTTCCCTCGGCTCAGCCCTGTGCCGCAGGCTGGGGGGGCGCCCAGAGAGGTCTCCTCTCCTGGCATGACCAGGAGAACCACCTCACCCCTGTGAGGCCGTGCAGCAGTCAAACCTCGCCCTTCCAGGCCCACAACTCAAGCGGAGAGCACAGCTGGCCAGCGGCCGGCTCCAATTCACCGCGGGGCAA